CTCCAGTACTAGGCACCCCGAACCAGATTTAGTCTACTCAACCACCACAGCATCAGCTGCAGATAAAACCAAAGACAAAGCAAATGAAGAATCTGTAAAGCTCACAGGTGACTACACGCGCCAGTGGAGCCTACATTGTCCGAGTGTTAAGAGCACAACGTAATGGGGACTGGAAGAAAGAACAGTGACCTCAATTATTCTAATAGTATACTCTCCATCGAATAAAACTTTCAAAGCCACTATACAATGCATTTCTTTGATCTAATCTCCAGAATCTCACCCCATCTTCAAAACACTGTACTGCGTGGCAGCTGCGTTAAGAGCCACCAGTGCCAAAGGAGCGAAGACAGCGCATGAGAAGGGTGCTGCAGCAAGAGGACTGTCCCACACAGCCCTGCCTTCTCCAGCGTCTGGTTCCCGGTCCTTTCTGCCTCCTACTGACCACACTTTTTGTAAAGTAAGGCCATAAAATGATCCAGCTGAAAGAAAAAATTGGGGGAAAAGAGGAATATTTTCAGTGTATCTCAGCTAGATTAGTTCCCCAAGCCACTTGGCTACACAGTGCGGAAAAGCAGGTTCCCAGAGCAGGAAAACCCAGGAACCGCACTACCACTGCTTCCACCTACACAGTGCGAGGCACAAAATAACTCACTTTAAAACAAAGTCCTGCATAGTGTGTCAAAAAGGGTAGATGCTTCCATCTTGTCAGGAATCTCCCAACAATCTGCGGGACATTTGGCAGTTTGCTAATGCAGTTTCTATACTGTATACACACCCACATTTTATAAACATTTCAGTAAAATGACAAGATTTAATTCTTTCAGTGCTGGCATTTACGCTTGTAGTTCAAAACTCCCTGCGCTATTTCCCTTACCTTCTGTAGGTTCATGAAATACAGCTACCACAGCACTTTGCAGGTAGCGTGGCAGAGTTACAGTGGTAGGAAGTTTCAACAAGCAGTTTCATAACAATGCAGTTCCACAATTAAAAAAAAACCCAACTCTGACAGAGCCGTTTCATTGATGCACTTTTGGACTTCTATCAGTTTATTTAATCAACTGCAACTTTTTCTCCCTCAATCACAATCTAGTTTTTACATACAATCAACAAATTATGACATAATTAGAATGCTGTTTAGATGCAGATCGCTTACTTCGTCGAAAATCCCATGTTTCAGCCAAAACCTAATATGTTTAAATTAATTTTCTATTGTAAAGAAACATGAACGATTTTTTTCAACTGATCAAAGAGCATGCGATTCAGATTCAGCACTGTAAATCACATACTCAATGACAACTAAAAATTTGGTATTCTCATTCAAAAAATATCGCTGCTCAAAGCAGATCTAAAGCAAATTCCAGATACAAAATTACAATATCCATATATGGCATACGCTGAAATGCTAGAAGGTACAATTTCTCTGCTGCACCTGTGACTCAGCCTCTGAGGTTACACCCATGCTGCATGTTTGGCCAGGCTCCTGCTGCCTGTCCCCCAGCAAGCCTTCAGCCTGGATTACAGATCCCACCCAGCCAGGCCTTCAAAACCCTCCCCGGCCCAGAGAGAGGTCTGCCTCACCCGAGTGAGGTGTCATGTTGTTGTCGCAGGTGAGTGGTTAGGTCGTATAAATGATCAAAGTTTTGCAAGGCAAGATTTTACTGAAAATTTAGAAAATGTGATCTTACAAAGGTCGTTGGCAAGGTTCACTCTGTTACTTTTCAAATGAATGGAATACAAAATCGAAGAAGGTTTTGAGTGGAAAATGATTTATAGAGAGTAAAAGCAAAGCGTTAAGGGGTAAGGAAGACCCTCCCGTTGAGTCACCAGGTTCGGACTGGACCTCCTTGCTTTCTAAACTCCTTTTCGGAGAGGAGCCGAGGTGAGGCTGGATTCAGAACCAGCCTTAGGCCACAGTGGTTTATGTCTAAGGAATATGTTTAGCAGCAGTTCAGGGTGTTTTCAGAGTTTAAAGAGAATCACAGGGATTTAGCAGCTATTAATCGGTGGTTAACTTAGCATTTACAGAGTGAGTGGAAAGAATTTGCTATTACAATCACAGCAATAGAATATTATGTTTTGGATCAATTCACACACACACACGCCATCATGAAAATTCCCAAGTTCAGTGAAATACTCACTTCAAATCAAGTGATTTCTCAATGGGTGAAGGTTGACTCTCGAGATCAGCCCAGGTAGTTCACGCGTTGCTCTGAGAGGTGTCCCACCCAGAGGGAGTCACTGGGCGCACCTGCTGCAGACCAGAAGCGCTCAAAGGGCCTTTCTTGGTACCGCTGTTTGTACGGTCTCAAGATGATTGACTTTGGGCATCAGTAATTTTCCCTCCTGGTCACAATCCACATGATGCAGTCCTGGTATTTAGACAGAAACTACGTAATCCAGTACTACCCAGAACGTACAGTTCTGACATTTACCAGGCAGGTGCGACTCCAGGCATCAGGAGTTCCAGGTGCGGTCAGGGGGTGCCTGATCGGCCCAGCTCACTGCTCTTGTACAGAGACAAGGAAAGCACCAAGTGGTCCCGATTCACTACACACTAGCCAGCTATTCCTGTGGTGTAAGCAGGAATAAAATGTTGGCTGGTCCTGGGATCGCCAGGTGTGAGGGGGGGCTGAACCACCACAGTTGTACACAGCAGTGCATTGCTCCTAGACTAAGAGCTGCCTTCCAGTAAAGACTGGGTTTTATTCCTTTCTCATCCTGTTTCAGCTAAAAAAATCAAACATGATGTCTTAAAGTATCTGTAGCATAAGTGGACCTGTTCGACTTTATCCCAGACACCGTGAAGGAAATACCTCACAGAGTCAGTATTGTTTCAGCTGGTAGGAAGCAACTGCTAAATAAAAGATCAGTGCAGCTTCTGCTGTCTCTCATTTGAGATTCAAATCCCCAATCTGGTCACAAAAGCAGTAGACTAATAAATTTGTGCAACAAAGCTCAGGGCGAGGTCATAAAAGCAGAAATAAGAAAGAGTATTCGGTTGCACAGATCATTTTCTTTTCTAGAGGAAGGAGCAGAGGCAGAACTGGAACGGCTCCAGAGAGAGGAGAGGATAAGGCAAGTACAGTGGTGGCAGCCTGAAGATGAGACACAGAGTATAGCTGCGCAGCTAGAGAATTAAAATAACCAACTCTGAAGCCATATACTTAAATGGGAGTACTTTGCCAGCCTGATTATCTCCCCTCAGGAAAAGCAGTCTGCTTTTCCACCAGCAGCTGCTTGAAAGTAACGCCATTTACAAAGGAGCATGTCAAAAATAGCACTGTGCTTACTCTACAGAAAAAAAAAACAACCCCAAGAAGCTTCCCTCCACAACTCCCCAAAGCACACATTAAGCAAAATACAGCCTATGTCACTGAAATAGTAAATAAATACGAAGTGACTGTTCATTCCATTCCATTTCTGGATTTATGTTTACATAATTATGAACCTTAAAGAACACTTTCCTACACATTGATCAGTTTTAAAGCAGTACTAATCTAAATGCTAACACATTTGATACTGAAATCTAGACCCATTTATCTAATAAAACAAAAAAATTAATTACGAGCAGCGTCTCTTTTTTAGCGGGAGAATTATCAACTTAATGGAAATATTTTTAAAGTACAAGGTTATTGACAGCATATAATTCAGTAAGCTTTGATCTATACATCTTACTAAGTCTCATTAATTGTCAATGTATGTGAAAAGAGAAGATGCATTGGTATTTCTTTCAACCTTTGCAGTTCTTCACCTGAGCAACAGAATACTTTTCTTATAATAATAATAATAAAGACACTGTATTTTTGCAGAAAAACTGAATTTTCTATCGGGTCGAGTTCTTCTTAGTGGATTTTAGCACAGTATACGCTAGCGTAATTACTTTTAAAAGAATAAATCCTGTTTCCTACGCCCAAGTTATCACAACAGACACGTATCACAATTCGTGGGCAATTACAGAACGTGGATCCCATCCTGGATGAAGCTGGACAAAGGTTATGCTGGGTATCGACGAATGGTACTTCAACAGGGCAACACACTGCAGGACTGGTACTGTAATTATTTCCGTCCTTGAAATGAGAGACATTTTAAAAACACAAGCTTTCAGGGCAACTAATTCTTGCATCTGTCATCGCATGTTATTGCCGAGTAATGTGTAACCAACTGTAGCTAATCACATATAAACGGCATCTGTTATGCAATCATGCAAGATTTCATCCTACGCCCACATTGTAAAGCATGATAGATGAGTACCATTTTAAGAGGAATGGAAGGCTACTGAAAATACACATGGAACAGTAAATTTTCATTTACTTTACCAGAACCTGGAAAAGGTCTTAAATGAAACTATTTGATTTCCAATCTGTGCATTTGCATTCTCTCATATTAATAATAAAAGCATCGGGTTTACTTTCCGTTATTTAGTTTCTACAATATTTCAGTTGCAGACAGCAGTTTAATACTTCTTTGTTCCAACAGCTTTCTCTTTGTGAACTGAAGTCACTGACACTTTGTCTTTTTACTTAGAGAAGTTTCATGAAGCCTTGGTGTTGATTTCTGTGTATAATCTCTTTTAAGTTACATGTTAAAAGCCCATTTTTGTTAATTACCAGATGTTAAAAGCAACATAAATCGGCGCAACTAAAGTAATTTTAACAAAGAATTTAAAGGATATAGTGAGTTTACAGAATTCTTTGGTTCAATCTACTAAAAGACAAGTTACACTGACAAAGACCACAGTACAAAAACCACTTACAGTTTCATTGTTTTGCAGATTCCTTTAGCATTTTCAGCGTTCACAATATAAAAAATGAAGGCCCTCCCCCCTCAAGAAAACACAACCACAGACACTTAAGTCTATTCAAAGGCACTCAGCTTGCTTTTTGTACTTTTTTTTAAGTTTGGCAGACACCAAGTCGATATTGCTTTCATCATTTTCTGGCTAACAGTCTCTTCAAAAGTTCATGCAACACAATAAATTATACTTGGTGGCCAAACACAACAATATCATGTACTTATTTGGGATAATTATTTTGTGTGTAAAGTATTCATGATCTTACAAAACTCCAATTTTACCAGACTAGGCCCTTGGCCAGTTTTGACTTTTTTTTCCCTTTAACACGCTGTGCCTTAAGCTTCTTTTTCTGCCTGGAATTCATCCATATTGGGTACTGTCCATGATGGTCTAGAAGAGTTTTTTTGTTTCGTTTATTATCTACGTCCATTTTGCCATCATCTGAAAAAGAAAGGTATTTATAGTGAGTAAAATACATGAATCAGCTTCACAGAAGCTGTTTTATTACTAGATTCCCCCAAATGATAAAAATATCCCTAGACACAACAGTATATGTACATTGAGAGCTGAAGGCTTTATACACTGAAAGGACTTTCCAAACCAATACAACTGCAACTCAGGAACTTCAACAGCTGATAGTAAATATGCAGAATTTTCCCTGAAGGCCCATGTCTGGGCAAAGCACCTTATTCTTTTGTCTGCCATCTGTTTCAGTGCTGCGTCTAAAAACATTGTGTGTGGTCTCCATCAAAAGCTGCAACCACACAGGAAGCCATAGGTTTGCTGAAACATATGCACGATTAAACACTTATTCTGATGTAATGTTTAAGATCTGTTCTAAAAAATTAAATTAATTTGAGAGGAGGATGAAGACAGGTATAGAGAAGAACAAAGAGAAAAGCTGAAATACAATGATGGTACAAAGCACGAGCCATTGATGCTACATTTGCCTCAAGATGCGAGCACGAAGTCTAATATATTTAGAGGCAGAAGATTATATAATCTCTAGGATCAGGAAGACTGCCCGTGACATGGTCACTCCCAAGAACAGCGTCCCCAGCTACCTAATACCACATGAACCTCACATCTGGGTGAGACAACAAGGCTACAAGAGTAACACCTTGCTAAATACAGATTGGAGCTGTGCTCTACTATTTAATTTCAACCTTGTTTCCAAACCATCCACGTGCAACTCCAAAAGCTTTATCATGAGTTTTCACAGTGAGGAAAAGAAGACTTTTTTATGTGGTTCCTATCTGATGTTGGGAAACATTGTTCACAAGGAAAATACCAACATGCTGCTTCAACAGTTGACGCATGCTGGTAAGTCTACAGGTAAGCACCACAGAGATGTGCTTAGGGAGGCCCTAAGTTGGGATGTGAATACTTGTAGTCAGCAGAGAGTGAGCACAGGGGCTTACTGTCTCCTGGCACAACCAAAGGCTGATCCAGCATAGGGCAGGCAGCAAACAAACTCCCAGCTCCAGAAACCTCCTGAGACATCAGAGAAACACGAGGCCTTCTTAACAGCCTTGTTTTCCAAATGTCATAGAAGGAGAGATGGCCCCTAACAACGTAACACAAAAAAACCACCACCCCAAGAAAACCAACTCTACACAAGCTGCTTCTCTGATTCCTGTCCTATCATATGATTGAGGTTAATCTGTTACACAAATTCTGACTGCAAAAAAGCACATCCACAATAAACGTCAGCTGCAACATTAACTAAATGAAGAAATACTCCGGGACAGAAAAATACCAGCTGTTCAACGTTTTCATCATATTTTGCAATCTCAAGGATGCTGTAGGAATCAGTAACAGGAAGAAACCTACCGAACAGAAGCAGTCCAAGGATATAAACAAAAGCTATCAAAGGGGTTAAAGACCTGTGCGATGTGGAATCCCTTGTGTCCACAAACAGTGCTGAAGAGTTCTCTCAAAGAAGACACCACCATCCTCAGAAGACTTCCAGTCGTTTTGTGAAATATATATTCTTAGGTATTTCTGAGGCTGCTACCTCTCTGTAAAAGCTGTGTGAAATCGGACACTTGTAGAAAAGTTGCCCTCAGACTTGGAAGCGGGTGCAGGCATGACGGGAAGCTAGGTTTAAGACAACAATGTTTCCTCCAGCTTCAGCATCAGTACCAGAAGGCCGACAATGCTCCAAAACATTTTGGACATTCAATCCTAACAATCCCATAAAGAACAACTTTTACATCTAGTTTATGGGACAAATCAGAACCATGGATAAAATTACAAATTATACTCCAAGCTACCTCTAATTGGGCAAGTATTTTTATATAGCATTCTATTTCCATTTTCAATATAGTTTACAGGCTCTGCTACTCAACCTCACAACATTTCCCTGTCCTTCCTAATTTCTGAAACACTGACAAAACAGGCTGTGTGACTGACAGCGATTACCAGCATTACTCTGTGTCCCCACTGTGGTGTCTCAAGAGGCTTCTGCATGCCACGTAAGAAGCTCATATCGGCAATATCGTAAGTGCCATAAATTGGAGAAGCAAAAAAGACTATCATTTAGTTTGGACTGCAGTTTTGGAAAGAGAAGGTGTCTTTCTGACTCCTGTCCAGTTTGTAGCTACCCAAATCTTTGTTTCCATTTACTTGCTTTACAGATTACATCCTATTCAAGGAACAGAGGGGAAGATGGCATTATCTGTAGACACCTGTTACCACCCACTTCCACACCATGTATGATGCCGCATTAATTAGCATACAAAACCAGGGTCCCTACTGCCTTGAGACAGTACATTAAAAAATGTACTCTATTCTTGACAAAATTCCTACAAAATTACTTTTGAGTTAGGTCCAACTTTTATATGTTTAGTGTCCTCCTTAAGCTAGGAGGGAAATTACATTCTGTCTCCAGCTGGACAGAAAATGTAATGCTGCGACTGGAACAACACTAAGTGATGAATCCTCGTTCACCTGATGTCTTCAGAGAGAGATGTCTCTCCATAAGACACTGCATACTTTAAATCAAATGTTTATAAGCTTGTTCCATACATGACCAGACGCAGTACAGCAGCTGATGTTGTGAGATGACCGGATTCAATAATAGCATCTTCTGGCTTTAAGAGATAAAGATTTGGCTTTCCAACTCACTATTCTCGATCTGGAACAATCACAAGTCTTATCACGATAGCGAAACTCACAGGACCGATGACAAACAACACCGCAGGCCGCCCCCGCGCTTTGCTGGCCGCACCAGTAGAACCGGTACAGTGAAAAACACGCTACAAAGGGGAC